ATCTTATAAAACAGTGCACTGTGTAAACAGCACAGATTTGTTTGGCATTGAGCACACAGTCTGCTTTTATCTCTTAAGGTCAGTTTCTTTATGAGTAAGGTTTTATTGATGTCAGTACATATGTGGCTGTATATACAGGTCTTGTACACTAAGGTGCACATTGTTGTTTTTTTTTGTCAACTTTTGTCATCTCAGCACGAAATGAGATAGAGAAAAAGATGAAGCTGGGAAAAACATACTCCTGATTTGAAGGTCCTCTAACTCTATTTTGCTCTGCTCTGCAGCTGCCATCACTCATCAAACAATTTCACTCAGCCTTCCTCCTCCACAATGCCTCTGTTTCTTTCTCTGTTTGGCTGTGCGTAGCATAACAGACATAAACTGTTAATAGAAATTATATTGCTATGTGTAGCAATATCCTTGTTTCATTTGTCAATTGTGGAGGAGGAAGAAATCAAACATTAAGCATTACAATAATAAAAAAGAAATTCTCAGTGAAGTGGAGTATGAACAAATGCGGATGTAGTGACCCTGTACTATTACTATAAATTCTACAGGCTGGAGAATAAGGTGCAGAATAGGTTATAAGAAGAGACTAGCTCTTATTTTTAATTTCCCCCGCTTTGTAATATTTTATTAACTCAACTAAACTAAACACTGCTACAGTAATACCACCATATTATTGGAATAATTTTATTGTGAAAAATCTGCATGTTTTGAGCTTCGTTGCCTGTAACTTACTGTGACGTTAAAAAAGAAAAAAGATCGAATCGGTGATTCCTAAAAGTTTTTCTGTTATTAAGAGACACAGCAACAGTGTGATGGAAGCGTTGTTGTTGTCGCAATGGAATGAATGCTACTGAAGTACAGTTTGCCATGCCATGTGAGCCATTATACAGATGTACAAGTAATGTTGTGTTTTTTCCTCCATATTTTCCTCCAGCCTTTATTTGACAGTGGTTGGTATTTGCTTCAATATTTGAGAGCTTGCCAATACCAGTTTTTGTTGACAGTTGTATACTGTATACTGTTTTATAGTTATCTACACTGTATCGCACCTTCCTTTAAGGACTCCCACTCTATATTGACAGGATGCCTATTTAAGCCAAAGTTAAAAGGTAAGATAATAAAAGAAGAATTAATGGTTACATCCAATAAGGCAGACTGCAAATGGACATTTTGTCGAAAAATGGTCTTAGTTCACAAGTTGCAAATGAGAATTTTAGAAAGGATTTGACCTTCAAAAAACTAACAGTCCTGAAAAAATATATGTTTTATGTTGATTTCTAGCCCTCCTCTCTGATAGAGTGGCTCGACTGAGATTTCATTAGAAACTAATACAAAGGTACTGAGTTGAAAAGAGCGGCTTACTTCATGCGAGACAAAAGAGAAGAGAAAGACAGAGATGTCTCAGAAAAAGTACAGTCAGCCTAATAACTTCTCCCTGGCAATTCTACAGTCTTACCTAGCACTAAAGTTTGTGGTTTTTTTTTGGAAAGTTGCGTGATTGAACCGAAAATGAGTTGCCTGCTTTGCCTTCTTGGTTGATAGTGTTTCATGAATTTAAATTCCACCCATGAAAACCCGTTTTCTACCAGATATTTGAAAAAGATACTCTCAAAGGAATCAATGTCTACCCATTAAGGTTTCCGTAATGAGCTTTCATTTTGCTTTGTGAGTTTGTGTACAGACGGCCCCCCGGTCATTTGAGGTCAAGTTCAGCCTCAAAAGTTTTAATCAGTCTTTGATCAAGCCATGTTTGTTGGAAGATTCAGCTGATGTTACAGTGGAAGCAGAGAGTACGTTGGAAGACCTTCCCTTGGCTGTTACAGTTCTAAATGCTGCTCTTGCCGCAGGGTTCGTATTGACGTTACACCGCTGGGTGTCTAAGATAAATTAAAAATGTGTATGTGTAAAATTCATATATTGCTAAAAGTCAAATCATATTCCTGTAGTGAAAACAACATCTGCAGTTTAATTGGCTCAAACCTGCTGTGCAGATTTATTTTAGTGATAGTTCATAGCCGCTATTGACTTCACAATCAAATTTGAGGGTCCAACTCATGCAGTCCTTGAGATTCAATATTAAACAAAATAGTTTTGACACTGTTCATGATAGGATGAATTTCTCTCATACTCAACTCAGTAATAATAACAATATGATACAGTACTTGTGTAGTAGAATTGTTTTTTCCTGCCCCTCAATGAAAGAGGTCAGAGTGCAGGGTCACAACCCATCAGCAGAGCATCATGTTAATGTGCAGGACACACTCAATGTTCCTCCTGAACATTTGCTGTTATGTAATTTCAGTAATGAACCTTATCCCACATCCTTTCTGGACTGTGGTTTGCTCTCATGAATGGGTACTTTGGACTGTGTGAACACAACTACACACACACACACACACACACACACACACACACACACACACACACACACACACACACACACACACACACTCTCACTCCTCTACTGAGAGATTATCCAAATTTTTAGTGCTTTAAGCTGTTGTGTGCTGCCAGTGTGAAATGTAATTTCCTCTGGGCCTTCACACTGTAACAGAGACAGTCAATGAACGGCAGTGACGGAGAGTATGTTTGCTGGAATGAAGAAAAGACGAGAATAAAATGCTGTATTATTAGGTCGTTTGGTGCTAATTGAGACACTACAGGGTACAGTACTACTGCAAGAATACAAAGTGGCATAGTTCAGATGGTGGAGCGAGTTGTCCATTAATTGTAGCGTTGCTGGTTCAACCAAGGTGCTCCTGAGCATTCATTCATGATACATCACTTCGTATGTATCGGTAAATGAAGCGAAAACGACAAGTGAAATGACAAAAATCATCAAAACGTTCAGTCTCAGTGATGACACTGCGTTTATTTGCTAGCTTTATTTTAAGTTTAAGTTAAGTTTAAGAAAACCTTGATAAAATTGGATCAAGATCAAGATGTTAAACACTGGATGCATTTCAGCGACGTCCTTCTGACGGAACTGATACAGTTTAATTTTAACCACTGCAACAACTTTCTACACCTGAAAGACTGCTTGAGTTTTACATGCAGGAGTTTGACTCATAAAGTCTTTTAGAGGGCTCATTTGGAGTTTGTTTTTTTTCTCTTGCACACATTAGTGTGTGATTTTGTACTGAGCTGTGACTTTTGTCAAACACATCATAGCGTACATACTTAGGCTGAACGAATAGTAGTGTAGACAGTGATAGAGGACTCACAGCTGCAACTGCTTTGTGTACTGTATAGAGGGTGCATAGAGAGTCTTTTTAACACACACATAGGTGAACTGTTGGACAGCTGAAACGTTCCAGACTGTCTGGAACCAAGGGACAATGTACTTGTACCTCAATACTGTATCACAGTATTGCAGTTTTGATGCCACTATATTGCTAACATTGCACCAGAACTGTGTGAGTGTAGCGCAGGTAGAAATGTTTTAAAAAGATGCATCAGGATGTATTGCTTATCAAATCATTGTCTGGCCTCTTGTATTGAAGTCTTTCTATTCACAAGGTTTGGGTTATAAGGTTAGAGAGATGAGAGTAACGATGGAGGAGAAAAGAGACAGAAGACAGAAATCTGAAGGCAGAGGAAGTGAGCGCGAATAAAACAGACGAGACAGTTGATGTGTACATGCACTCTTCAAACAACAGAGATTCCACCCACATCTTGGTCGATAGAATTTAGAGGACTGCAGAAGTATTTTTTGTTTACTCTGTTTCTTCATTCATTATTCCTTCTTCATTAAGCCTGAAACACTGAGCACCAGTCAGTTATCATGCAACACATGAGATTTTCTATAATGAGTAATTTTATGCTTGTGTCTTCTAGTCAAAGCCCTGTCCATTTAGTTTCGTGAAGCACAAAATTACCTTGAAAAATAAAGCTTTGAACTATTGATTCATTCCTTTGCTTTTGGGTGTGCTTTGAATTATTTGGTAGACAGCAGCGCAGCAGTCAGACTAACTGCATATTCAGGGGTTGTTATGCGGTGTGTTTTTGTTGGGGTTTCAAACTGTTATGTATTATCATTCATAATTATGTGCTATTTTTCCACAAGCCCGTTCTATTATCTGCACCTTTCTGTATTGAATAATCTGCTATTGGAGCTGTAGGAGGGAAACGGTATCATAGAAAAAAGTCACAGTTTCATTGATATTTCAGTTGTTATTGTAAATTACAAAATTTATCAATTATAAGGAATAAAAATAAATACAAATGCACATAGAAACCAACAAACATAGAACATTTAATTACAAATGCAATTAAAATTATTTCATAACTGGAAGTGTAGAGCATGGCATTCAAGCCTATATAATGTCTCAAAAACTATTTATTTGTTTTATTTATTATTTAGTTTTACAGATGTACTATTAGTAGTAGTATTTAGTGTGATTACACTATGTTACATTGTAGAGATGTTCCTGCTATTTTGTCCAATTCCTGTACATTTATGTAGCCACCATCCAAATAGCAGTGCTAGGAAAGAATGAATAAGAATAGTAGCTATATATCACATCATAAATCTTTGTTTGCTAAGAGGTTTTTTAGGTTTTTATATCCCATAATATACACTGGTGCGCAGCAACAAAAAGCTGCTTTGGCACTTATGGAAGGCATGGCTAATGCTAGACCAAGATCAGAAGGATCCTGATGGATATGTCAAAACAAGTTTAACAGGGGTATGTGAACATCTATTTCTGGCTAATTGGAGAAGTGGAAATTAGGTTTATGGAGGTACATGCTAATTCTAAATGAGATGTCACACAAAAATATGACTTTGTTCTGTTTTTTGTTTCTGAATCTATGCAGATTTACATGTATCTGGCCCCTGATGTCTAGATATTTATCTCCCAGCAGTTGGTCTTGCAGAGCAAAAACACTTTTGTCCAGAGGCAAAATGATAATGGCTCTAATGCACTCATAATGTGCCTGTAATGTCTGAGAATGAGGTGAGTGTTACCTGTGATTTTCATGGTTTTCAGGATATCTTGAACAATCTGGACCCTCCGGGAACTGGAGAGTTGGATGACGATGACCTCATGTTGGATGTGGACCTCCCAGAGGATGGCTTGCATGGTCAGTACACACATACATACACACACACACAGACACACAACACTGTAATGTAATTGCAGTTATCCTACACAGGATTTAAATGTGTGAGGTTATTCTATGGCCATGACAAATGCTTCGGTTTCATTGGCTGAAGATTGCCCATTATTTTCATATAAGCGGACACCTCCAGCAAAACTATTCTGATCATAATTGTAAATTAATGCATTACCAAGGTCTGAGCATTCTATTTCCAGCAATATCCTTTTATGGTATATAATGGCTTGAATAAATTGAATCCTGCCTTGCCTTAGGTGAAGATTTGCCTCCTCAACATCCATTAAAATCTTTTAATGGACACCTTGTTGTCTATTATGTTCTGTTACTCTTTTAATATTTGGCTGCTGAAGAGTTATTAAATTACAACTCCACCACTGCCACACAACTGGCCATGTATGACAGCAAGGCAGCTGACTTGGAGAAGTGTTCAGCCAGCTGTCTGCCTGGCTCTGTTTATACAAACAGATGCACACACAGGTATGGTACCAACACAGCCACAGTGCAGAGTTTACATTTGATTGCCTTGACAACAGCAACATGGCGTTAACATGATTAGTTTAATCGCTTACTATTCTACATACACCACCCACTCTCATCTTGATACCATATCTTTTGAAGTCTTCTGTGTAACCCATTTTCATTTTGTAAATGTAATCAATTACCAATCAGTAAAATAGCTTCTTTGTAGTTTTTAAAGGTAATCAGGACACTTTATTACCATATAATAACGGTTTTGACAAAGTTATTATTGATTCCTCAAATAGTGTTGGCCACATATATGGAAAGAGGAAGTGAGAGGGAAAGACAGATTGAGGAATACTGACCTCACCTTGCATGAAATATAATACATTTCCCTGGTCACCATTCATGACTTATGTGTTTACTGTGAAAGGACTCTTAACACTTGGTATGTGTAAACAAGCACCACAAATACAATATATAGAGGGGGCATGTATGCTTACATGGGCACATATAAGCATATGTATAAGCACAATCACACGCACCGACACACATTTACACACAGTCACCATTAAAGCAGCGACAACCCTGCAGTAAATCCTACCTTTATGTAGGCCATAATGTTCAGCTTTTCTTGAAGCTGTTTTAGAGAAGTGTTGATTCAATTTATTGTCACTTTGGAGGCTGTGGAGACTGAGAGGTGTTTAATATATTATATAATTAAATATATATAGGTGTAATATTGAGGCTACCCTCGCTGATATAAAGCTTCCAAAATGACTGTAAAGTTGAATAAGCACCTCTCTAAAACAGCTTTAACAAAAACCGAACATTATAACCTTCATGAAGGTAGAATTTATAGCAGGCCCGTTGTATTAGACTGCATTAGCTTTAGCTTGGTGTACCTAATAAACTTTCAACTGGGTTTATCTTACTATGACAGCTTTACACCCCTGATACCATTATTTAGTCTGCAAACAGTGATATCCTTGTTTTTGAGAGACAGGAGACAGAGAGGGAGGGAGAGGAATGTTCACTCCAGAGGAATGTGAATTGGAGTGTCCTACTCCTTTTTGGGAAGAGGCCATATTTATAGCGCTCTATGTCATGGCCAGAGCTCGTGTCACGAGAGGCAGAGAGAAAGCAAGGCAGGCCGAGGTGTCCATTTAGACCCAGCCCACGGGGCAGGCTCTCAGACGTGGGATAGGGAAGGGTGTTTCCTCCCTCCCAAAGACACCCTGACTCTGCCACAGAACAGGAAGAGGGGAAGAGGATTTGAAAAAAAGAGAAGGGTAGAAGGGGCCTCGTAATATTTTCTTCCAGTTGTTGGGTCCCGTGACAGGAGAGAGGCCCCAGCTTTTTTCCCTCGTCCCCCTCAGCTGGTGACTTCCTTGCTTGGACACAAACCAGTCACCTCAGCTGCTCTCTCACCACCATACCAATGCCACCACAGTCATCTCTCCCCAGCTCCAGTTCCTAGGGAGTTCCCAGAAAAACAAGACTGTCAACAAAGACAAAACCAGGCAGGGTGGGAGCTGGGTCTGCGTTCTTTCTCTGGCCCTTTAACTGCTTACCAGTTGGCTGGACAAGGAGTCATTTCTCTCCACTCTCCGTCTAAGTTTCTCTGCCTTTATGGATTTTTTCCCCAAGTTGGAATATATTCTGGTTGTATTACTTTTCAGAGGACATTTTTCTGGGCTGAAGAGGAAAAGTTATTGGGAGCGCTTAAGTTTCCAAATCAGAATGAAACAGGCTGTCTGCTCCTGTGTCATGTGGTGACACTCAGGGTAAAGTATTTTAACTGCTACTGCTGCATTCCTTGGATTGGGTCTTTCAATCTGCCAATATTTCTTTATCTCTATTTTTCTTTCTCTCTTTCTACCTTTTCTCTCAGTCCAAAGACTTTTTGGCATATAGAAATTCAAGGGTCCTTTTGATTTCCTGGGGGTCGCGCTCTGTTAGTTGTCAATTTTGTTGCGGCCATGGTTCATTTCACAGCTATATGCCATTGAGTGTTGCCAAATACTGTGTCCTTTTACCTAGTTGAAAATGAAATGGCCTGTCACCGTGTGTGTGAGTGTGTGTTTGCATTTTATGGGGGAGGCAGTTGAGAGAAATAGAGAATGAGATGGATCAGATCATGATTTATATGCAGATATTTTAGAATAGAGTATTTGAAATATACAAAACCGTATTCATTATCACAAGATATGAAAACTTGACTTAGAGTGGTAGCAGAAGACAGAAACAGACAGAGAAAAACAAATTCTGAACAAATACTGCTCATCTTCCACTGCAAACGTGTACTAGTTTCACTTCAAATAACTGCATTTGTATTGCATCTACAGTATGTTACAAATCATACATTTCAGGTCAGGCACCATGTATATGCTATTTTATTCATCACTTGCATCCTCTCTTTTTCTAACATGCACTTAAAGGTCCAGTGTGTAACATTTAGGAGGATCTATTGGCAGAAATGGAATATAATATTCCTAATTATGTTTTTAGTAGTGTGTGATCACCTTAAAATAGGAATAGTTGTGTTTTTATTACCTTATAATGTTTTTGTCTGTAGAGGGGACAGGTCCTCTCCTAGCATATTTCTATGGTAGCCCAGAGTGGACAAACCAAACACTGGCTCACTGGCTCACTGGCTCTACATATGGTCTTTTTGCATTTTTTGCAGGTTTCACAGCCACCATAGTTTCTCCTACATTACTTGAAAGGGGAGGGTGAGGCGAGTTGGTTGCAATCTGCAATCTCACCAAATCTTACACACTGGTCCTTTAAGGTTCTTTACTTTGGCTCACTGTGCTTTAAATTCTGCCTTTGTAGACGCTGACAGGATGTCCCACATTGAGCGCTCAGAGAGGGCCGGTCGGCAGGGGCAGCGGCGTAAGCACCACCGCTGGAGTGGACCAGAACACTTCCACAATGATAGCAGGTTAGTTAGGCTTGCAAGTTTGAAAAAATGTTGCCAGAAAAGTTGGAAGTAGAAATGTAAAAAGTAGAAACGCAATTAAGCCAAAATAATTTTGTTTTTCTGTCCGTCGACTCTGACTGTTTCTCTATCGGTCTAATTTGTCTCTGTCTCAGGGCCCATGTCTTCCAGCACTATGATGGTCTCAAGGCTTCAAGGATCTCTTCACGGCCCGTCCTCTCTGAAGGCAGACAGCAAGGCTACATGGCGATGCTGGATGAACTCACACTCGAACACATGACTCAGGATTGCAGCTCCCTCAAGAACCAGCTGCTCAGGCTCAAAACGTTACTACAGGTTCGACCCACGTTCTTTTCAAAAAGATGCTAATGAACAAAAATGTGTGTGCATGTTCCACAATTTGCATATGATTACACACATACACAGAGAAGAGCAGCACATACATATGTTAGCTAGGTACATGCATACATGTGTTCAGTATGCATTGTTTGTCATCCTTCTAATGCTGTTACATCACACTTTGAAAACACAGAACTTTCAGATCATGTCACCACCCTCTGGCTTTTATTTTAGTCGTATAATGAGGCCACATACTGGGAACTGTCAGGATTCTGGGTTTGATTTCAGCTGCTGTTTTGTCTATTAAATACAGCTTTATATTAGTTTGCCAGAGGGTTTGATTGAATAATCTTCATAAGCTTGCCAGGAGTACACTGCATCACTGTCCTCAGGTGTTCAGCATAAGCAACACCAAAAGTATTTTCTGACAAAACTGAACTAAGCTAGTTTTAATTGTTAATGTGGTTCCACTTTAAGTATTTAAAGGTTTTTAAATATTTAATTACATCGGTTTAATAAATCCTGTCATCACACAGCTGCACTGTATGTACTTTATATAAACAGAAAGATGATAAGACAGATGTTTATAGGTAAAGGTATAGGGACGTCTTTGCAAGCGGTATTAATGTGCTGTACCAGTCTCACAGCCAGTTTTTTCAAGTTATTAGATGTTCTGGGCCTCCTTCTATTTTTCTGTGTTATGCTCTTGTGAAACTGATCACTTAATAGATCCTTCTCTGTCAGTTTGTCAGTCTGAGAAATCCATTTAACGTGAAGAAAAGAGGATAACGTGGGGGAAGGATAAGAGAGAAATAAAAGATGTCAGCTATAGAAATGTGCACTTACATATAAGATGAACGCACAAAACCCACACTCCTACAAAACCCACAACCCCATCTAGGAAACTGCCAAAATGCACAGAGGCACAAGCACTTCACACAGCACACTCCGTTAAATGAAATTATCTTGAATGCCTTGACTCAATTTACCCTCCACAGCATAAAAAGTGATATTTGAGTTCGCATTTGAAGAAGATGTCTCTGAAAACTGTTCATTGTGTTCACTTCAATTAGTCAAACTATTTGGCTGTATAGCCTCAAGAAGGGAAATATTTCTGTTCTGTTCTGTCTGCCCATTAGTAACTCTATTCTTGTGTTGTTGTTTTTTAGTATGATGTTAAGCTCAAGGAAGCAACTATAAAATTAGCCTCCAGCTGGTGGTATGTAGAAAATGACAGAATAATTGTCAACGACCGTTTGATAAATATTATTAAAAGTACTTAATCTCATAATAAGTAATAATTGCAAACATGTTATGGTTTTTAACTTTTCAAATGTGAACATTCACTTTCTTGTTTACCATTTGAGGTCACTGAATACATTTTTGTGACTCTAAAGTATGCAATTTCAAGGCCTTAGTCGTTATTTGTTGACACCAAATACTTAATCAGGCAGCAACTGGGAAAATAAAAGAATGTACTCTTGCTTTGGGAAAAGTACATCAGCTCTGCACTGAATCTCTATGAATCTCTATGAAATAAATGTATTGATAGTTAAAAAACATACTCTGCAACTGTGCCTCAGGTATCTAACATTTGTGGGTCGGCAGAGTATATGTGCTAAAGAGTAAACGTATGCCACCATAGTGAAATTTTGCTGTTGAGGCATGCCTAAGGCAATTGTCATTGAGCTAACTGTATACTCTGTGTGTATCCGTGTGTGCTTGCTTCTGTGCGTGTGTTTGTTTGTTTCCAGCTTGAGGATACAGACTCTCCAGCAGATGTTCCTGAGGAAATCGAAGACAATACTACTGCATCACAGGTAAGAAACTTTACCTTAGGTTTACAGCAGTGATCGATTGGATATGTTGTATTTATATAGACAGTCCACTACAACCTACAGTATACTGTATGTGTGTGTTTTCAGTTGGGGGAGCTGATTAAGGAAGTTCAGGTGCTCAGAGAGGAGCTGAGGAGTCGAGACAAGACCATTGCTCAGCTCACATTGCAGTGTCAACAGCTACAACAACATCAGCGGGAACAAATGGTGAGTTTGTGTAAACAGGACTGATACAAGTGAAAAATATGTGGGGAAATATAGTTACAGTGTCAATTATACATTTATTTCCAGGAATACATTGTCCCCTTGCCTTATGTTTAGGGCTCTCTGACAGTCATTAAATAGGATGTAGAGCATCCAAATGCACATCCAAAAAACCTCAACATAGGGTTCGGGTTATGTGGGAGCCAGTGGGAGCTGAGTTCCCAACAAACGCAGTAGAATTATTAATCTGTGGGGGTCGCTAATACTAATACTAATATTACCAACAACCTTATCTTAGTCACAAATATTGCATTTTTCAATGTTGAGTATTATTTCTCTCTGTATTGACTTGGCTTGCTTTCTGTTGGATTTACGGCTTGCAAAAACTGACGCATCCTTCCACTAGTGGAGCGCTACATAGGATAATCTGTGTACACCCACAACCAACAGTGCCTATAACAGCTACTTTCATATCATACCACAAAGGGCGGAATTGCGTTGTCCCTTTGAGTGATACGTCTGGGTTGGCATATTTCAGGCTGTTGGAACTGTTGCAATAGCGCAGGGAAGTTTCAGGTTGTTGCAATCTACTTGATACAATTGTTGGTAGTAGTGGGCTGTGGGCTGTGTAGTGGTTGTGTGTGTGTGAAAATGTTTAACCACGTAATGAGCAGCGAAGTCTATCTCTCTCTCTAACGGTATCACCGGTGTGTAGGCATAGAAAACAAACTGAAGGCAAAAGTTAGACAAAACATCCACACACTGTACTGATGACTACTGTGAAATAGGTTTGACAGTGCCTGGTGCAGATCTGTTAAAGACTGAAACTTTGCTTTGTTGAATTTAATTAGCTGGGAGCTATCAGTACAGTGTGCAGCTCTTTTGTCAGCCATTGACACTAGACAGTTTATCTTTTTATTTAGGTAGAGCATGTGAGTTATTTCTGAAATGTCAGTTATAAAGGTTTTTAGTATTTTTAATAGTGAGTCATTAGTGATATTAGACACAGACAAGAGCATCGCTGAGAGGATTGGCAGCTTCTACAAATCATGAATCCATCTCAAATGGCAACAAATTACACCCTCTTTCCTTAGACCCTTGACTTGGATAAGGAAAAAAATATACTTATATGAGGAATGTAGATCAGGCAAGATCTGTAAAATGAACACGTGTGGTTTGAACTTCAGGTTACCTTGAAATAATGTGTATTTGCTTATGAAGGACTGTTATCAAGGAGCTTCAGTTATAGGGGAAATAGCAGCATCCTCTTATATATGATATGATGCAGAGGTCGGAAATATAGTATATGTGTGTTCTACATGAAGTATCTAAGTATGTGTCTGAAAATAGTCACAACTATGGTAACGCTCATCACTGAGAGAAAGTATATAAATGAGGCTCATACAGTGTGAACGTCAGGGCAACATGTAGAACATCAATATTGGCTTGTCTTTGGCACTTGTATGTAGCATGTACAAACAGGCCTATAATAGCTCATGCTCACTCATAGCTTTCATGTAGTTCACCCCCTTGATACCAGTTCTCTTCAAAGATCTAAGATAGTTATACATGTCTGGGCACTACTGCCTTCCACTATCTTTTGTTTACACCAATTCCATATTTATCAGATCTTACAAAGAGAAAGCATGAAAAGGAGAAATAGAGTGAACGAAGACAGGAGAATAAACATAATCACCCTGTGCTTTGTAGCATATTGAAGACGATATGCTACAAAGATATAGGCACGTGATAATTGTACAAATCCATCCGTTGTCAATGGCGACATATTAAGTCCCCTTTATCGTAGGTGGGAGTTCACTTTCTGCTCTTGCTGGACTCCTACATGCACTCTAGTATGTGTACTCACACAGTTACGACTGCGTACCAATAACCTCCGTTCTGTTCGCTTTTAGCTGGCACCATCCTCACTCTAACATTCATTAGTGTCTTGACCAGGCTCCCTTGTTAGCCAAACAACCGTATGCTCGGCTGACATTATTCAAATCCCCGCCGTATCGAGAAATACCAAATGTCAAAGAGAGGCCTGTCCGCCAGCCTCCCTGCCGCATGCTATCTCTCCAATTAGAATTAGCACCCACCCACAGCAGGTTCTTCAGTCCAGCACAATATTGTTGCACCCTCGCCCTCAACAAGCCAAGAGACTTAGAAAAAGCTCGGACATATTTTCAGATCTGTGCCTGACATTAATGAATGTGGAGGCTGAAAGAGGGAAGATGTTGGGGGAAGTAGGAAGAGAATAAGAGGGAAACAGAGATGTTTTTTCTGCTGTTGTAGGACTAGGTATGCACCTAACTAAAGGGTTTGTATTCTCATGGCTTCTAATGTCACTGCAAAAGAGGACTGAAAAACAATAAAGCCACTTTTTTTTTTTTCCAAAAAAACAACCCATGGAGGCACATAACACATAAGGCTGGGATCAGTTTAATGTGCTGACAATCTTTGAATTTTTGGTTGTGAGAAAATAACAATTAGAACGACACTGGTTCAGAGTCTGTGAAGATTGATGATTAGAAAAGCTAAAGGCTACTGTGTGTCCATGAAATTGAGATAATATTGCAGTTGGTAAAAGAGTCAGGTAAACAGAAGAAGGTGTGAAGTGTTACAGAGAAACTGCTGAGAGACAGAACACTTGACTGAATTGAACATAATGGAGTAATGAGAAAACAATAGAGTAGCTGTGTGTGGCAGGGAGAAAGTCTATTCCGGTGTGTGTGTGTGTGTGTGTGTGTGTGTGTGTGTGTGTGTGTGTGTGTGTGTGTGTGTGTGTGTGTGTGTGTGTGTGTGTGTGTGTGTGTGTGTGTGTGTGTGTGTGTGTGTGTGTGTGTGTGTGTGTGTGTGTGTGTGTGTGTGTGTGTGTCTGCCTGCATTGGGTTGAGAGGAGATAAAGGGAAATAAAATGAAATAATGGGAGAGAGAAAAGTGGAGCTATCAAAGATAGAAAACTGATTTCTCAGTCTTACTTGACAGAATGCAGTTTTGAATGCTGCTTCCACTGCTGTTGAGGCAGACTGCTCATGATTATGCGCTCTTATTTGAGCCGCATTGAAGTTTTCACCAAGGCTGCCAAACATGAGCAATGTTTCTCAGCTGTCTCGAGAAGCGCTCATCCAAACTACTTCACACTCGACACTGCACTTCCTTAGGTTCTCAGCAATATACCAGGCAAGTGTGAAGTTGATTGAATGAATGGTTGTCGAGAACATTGAAAGACAGACAGACGGACAGACTCCTTCCATATTAGTTAGATAAAAGAGAATATATGAGATTTAGTACTAAATTCTTTAAAAAAGTTCTACCAAATGATTTAATGCACATCTTTAGTCCCTCTGAGGTTCTGTTTCAATATTGGATTGAGTTTAAGAAAGGCACATCACATGTATTACTCATCAGGTAGTCAGTGAAAGTGGTTTGTCAGTAAAGGTTTTAACAGATGAAAAAGGTGGTAATATCCGGTGAACATCTACTGAAAGTAAATGTCAGTGAGTTTAATTTACCGAAGGACCTTTAAATAACCATGTAGGGGTAATTCTACCCATTTACAGCTGGGCTTCATTTCCCATGATTTAGCCATCATGCCTGTCAATTCTAAAACTGTGTGATAATCTGCTGACTTCTTCCACATTTGATCTGAAGAAATACAGGACAGTATTTCATTGCTTCTGCATAGAAATATTAATAATTTTTTTTAAATGCCTTTAGTTTTACCAGCCATGTGCAGAAGGTTGTATTGTTGATTGAAGTATTTTTTTTCTGTTTTATCATGTGAATATACCTGATATTTTAAATTTGTATTTCATGTGACAACCATGTGCTGTTAGGTTTTCTGCTTAGATTATACACTATCACCCAACTGGTGATGCCAAATACAAGATATCAAACCCAACAAAAAAGTCTCATACATCATACTTGGAATAACCAGTTATGAGGGCTTCATGCCTTATTATCTAGCAGTAGTAGGTTTTAAGTTTCAAGCCATTTACAATTAGAAAGTTGAACTGAGATGGGTCAACTTGGGTGTTGTGCTGAAATGGTCTTTCAGTACTGTATTTTGCTCTTTATAGTTTTTCTTTGCCATGTTTGATTTGATTTAAGTAAGCTACATGCTCTTAACCAGGATGACTACAGAAGTAGGAAAGAATGGTCTAGGTTAAAAAGAAAATGAATAACAGCATTCAGTTATTGTGTAAAAAAACAAGCTTTCTTTCACTGATTCATGTATTCATGCCTCTTCAGTCTGCTCAAGGCCGACAGTTCAGGTGTCAGTGCCACCACCAGAGGGCTCCCTCTTCACTACGACAGAACGACAGACAGATGGACAAACGGATGCAGCATCACTATGACAAGGCCACCCAGACATACTGGAGACCACCGAGTCACGCTGTGAGTACAAACATTTACAGCACCCATAACAGCACTCCTGACAAGTGCACATTTTGAACCTCTGTTTTTCAACAAAGGATTTCTAAAATCTGAAACTGTTTAAGCATAAAATTAAAATACTTTTTCACCTTATTTTAACAATTATCAAGATAATAAATATAAAAAAATAGCACTAGTGTGCGTCTCAGTGTAACATTCCCATTGGGATACGCATGCGTGCAGTATGTTCCTGAGTCAGTCCACTGAATTCAGTCAGCCGGTTTCCCATTTATCTGCTGCCTCTCTCTGGCCAGCCTTGTCTGAATTGTTAGATGACTACACTGTCCTCTCTATGGAATACAGTTTATTAGGTTGTCAGTGGGCTTGTCACTGTCTCACACTCTTGATACCCACATCTCACTCTGAAGACGGGCTGGTGTTAATGTTCAAGTGATGGAGAAAGCAAAGATATACCATAGTAAGGAGGGGAAGATGCATGGGAGGTTGGAAGTAGACAGAGTGATACGGAGAGAGAGAAAGGTAAGAGATGGATAGATACGTGTTCAGTATCATGCCATAATGGCATGCTGTGTGGCAGCCAAGTATTGATTCAATAGCAGGAGTGCCACAGGCAGGGTGCCTAGTAAACACTTCCCTAATTGACTTGCTCTCAGGTAAAAAGGTGACACACACTCACACACACACAAAGAGCAAAACATCAACAGTATAAGGAGACTACATAGAGAGAGGAACTGAATTTAAAAAATGATACCCAAGAGATTTCTGGTGTTACAGAGGAAAAACTAAAGGACAAAACAAGCAAGCTTACTAAAAGTAGGTCCCTGCTTTACACAAGAGCATATGGTTTAACAGTCGCTATGGCAACCATCAAAGCAGGGCTAGCTGTCCCCGCGATGGGAATCATCTCCATGCTGGGAACATCTACCTGTGACCTGCAGTACCTGGTGTTTAATAACACACTGAAATGCTAAACACAGCAAGATCGAGTTTGTGCTTCTCCCTCTATGCTGTTTACTGCAGTTCTTAAATATTTCTTTGTTCGCCACCATCCTCCCTTTTCTCCCACTTTAATCTACATTACTGTGTCATCGCCGAAGTAGAGACTATTTCCTGCCCTGTGTTTTGCAGCACTGTGGGCACAAACACATTATGTTAGTGACATTTTCTTTTTCAGAGCTCGCAATTGCTCTGAAAGGTAAAGTTTTTTGTTGTATTTTTTGACAATGTAACAAGAAAAGAGAGCCCAGAGTAAACAAATAACAGAGAGAAAGGGATGTTTCTTTCTCTGTTTTTCTTACTTTTAGATGGTATCAAAGCTCTTGGTGTCGCACTGACAGGTTTAGCACCTTCAGCGAGCTCAGGTTCACAGTGTTCCTTATACAATGCTTCGCTTTTACCTCTTGTGTTTTTTCACACAATCTGGGTTTGTTTTTCTGAGTATGTCTCTTTGTCTATTCTCTGTAACCCTTGCCACCCCCCTTTTGCTCTCTGAAATGCCCTTTTCTGTTGATTTTCTTCTCCTCTGACATTTAAAGTGCCTCAGTATCAGAGCTCTGGAGTAGCTCTTGCCCTCTGATAGTATTTTTGAGTGAAAGGATCAGCCAAGAATAGTTTTGATGTTAAAGGCCAGTAGCGATCTTTTTATAGCTTTAATGCTGATATTTAGTTGCCTTATCATGAGTTCAAAGGGTAAAATTTACAGCCCGATACTGGGAGGTCTAGAGTTGAGGTACTGGCAACAACTTGAGCATGGACTTCAGGGAAATCTCACTGTGCTTTAAACTCAGATTAAGAGTATAACAAAAAAGTAAGCTTGTGACTTATGACCCTTGGATAGGGCTATTTAAGTACATGTAGTTGTCAGTGTACAGTTTATTATTCATGCAGCATCTTCAAGATGTTGATAAATTCTCCTCAAACGCTCCCTTCCCCAACATTTTCTCTCATGAACCAAAACAATTTGAGCTATTGCTCTACAGGCCGCTTTAATCGATTCCTCCTTTGTGGAGACCAGGGATGTACTCATCTCCTAACTTCACAGTCCGTAGGAAGGCTTTGGCAACATATCCTAACCAACTGTTTTGGGCACCAGCTCCTGCAGCTTCCCATTTTAATCTGCTTACAATCCAATTTTGAGTCCAAAAGCATGCTCAGAAAAAAATAAGTCTCGCAGTATGGTATGAGTATGTGTCTGTCAATGTACAAGATGCTGAAAATTTTGGACACACTTGTTGCAGTAAGACCCACATCTGTTGTGACATTAGAAACTGCTTAAATGTCACTTGGAGAAAAATAATGTTCTTGAATAGCTCCCTAGAGCGATCACAGCAGCTCAAATGTTTTCTCTGCCTCCTCTGCCTTTCGCTACAAATAAAACATGAGCTGTATGATTTAAGTCATTTCGAATGTAGCACACTAGAAAAGTATGCAGCCTTTTGTTTGTGTATGTGTTTGTGTTTTTTTGTGTTTTATTTTTACATGTGCATGTGAGAGACCCTGATTGTCTGCATATGTTTGTGCGTGTGAGTGGGATGTGCCTCATGTATCTCTTATACTCAAGTGCAGGGCACACTCGGTGTGACTGAACAATGAGTTCAGCAGAGTAAGGACTTGGGAGCCGACCTTGTTAATAACCCAGATAAACAAACACACAGATGAGCAGCAGCAGTGAAACAATGGCAACACAATAGGCAGTGTTTCATCAGTGGCAGTCAGAAAAGATAATTACAGCTACCCTCCTACTCGCTATCTGCCTTTTAAACATCCTCTTCTTCATCGCTTCTTCTTACCTCACACCTCCCTTTTTATCGCCCCTGCTCTCTCACTCTGTTATTTTCTTTCTTTCTTGCTTCAGTGAATTCTTTCTTACCCTATATTTTAGCCTCTTGTCGTTCTTTCTTTGACATTACCTCTCTACTTCTTACCTCAGATGTAATTAGATCAATTTGCTGTCACTGACAGAGTGAAAGAGGACAGGGAAGGGAGAGACAGGAGGGTTGAACAAGGCTAGTGATCAGTGTTAAGCTTTAGGTTGAAAAAACAAGTTTTCCCCTCTCAGATCCTGACATTATCTCTCCACCCACATCCCCTCTGTCTGCCCCCTTGTATCACAGACACACCATCACAAATGCGTACACACACACACACACTTACTTACACATGCGTGCTCATTAATACACAATGCACAGCCGAGTCATCTTGGACAGGTGAGGATTTAATTGGCAAAGTCAGTGAAATGAGACATTGCGGCTCTACCTGAGGTATTAGCTGTAGCCAACTGCTAGAATCTCTGTGTAGTGGATTAGGGGAGTCAAGCAGAGAGAGGCCGTTTTCGGGGCACAGCATTATGGTTTCTTCTAAATACTGTTGTTATTTGATGAGAAGGTTGTAGGATCACGAAGAACAACTTCTGCTTGACTTTTAAATTCTTGTTCTACTTTGCCAAGTTTTACCATCTGCTACTGGGACTTGCACACAGACGAAGTAGCTCAACAAATCCAGAGAGTCAATTTCACTATGAAAGCGGCCTCTAGTGAACTGCTATCATTACAGATGTGGTAGTTATTTCTGTTGAGGAGAATGATATTTCAAACACAACTGCTCTATTTTATTAATTATTTATTGACTTTCCCTTTTTTTTTTTATATATTCTCCGCTAAATGTCATTGAAGCTCTTTCACCATAGTATTCAGCAAGTTTTGTAAGCCCCTAACAAGCTCATTTTTTATGCATAAACCTGAAAAGGACCCAAAGACTGACCCATTACCAACTACCTTGTGAGCTTTACCAGGGGGCTGTAATTATGTCATGTAATTTAGGCTATTCCCTCTCCAGTGGCAGGGCCAGAGGTCACTCCAACTGTGCAGGCAGGACCAACCAGACAGAGCCATGAGTGCTAGAGATAGAGAACCCTGGCTTGCTTTTCACTACCAGGCATCAAACCCAGGATCTCTTCTCTGGTGGGCGAGAAATGAAAAAGAAGTTTTGATGAAATTGATGGAATATGAAAAACTTTTATATTTTCTCAATTTCTGTCTCCTTGCCCTTGTAAAGCTCTGTCAGCCCTTCATTGGAGAGCCTTTACAGCGATGGAAAACTGTAAAAATTGACAGGCTAAGCTGCTGCGGAGGTCTAATAAAGCTGCCAGACACTGTCAGAATCGTTCGAGAGCCCTCCAACATACCCTTTTGTTCTCATCGCCTAAGGTTTTACTCTCTGCAAATGAAGCCTCGACGGGAGACTTCTGCCGAGACCTCCCGCTGACACAATTGTTGATGTTCAAGGAAGGACATGGACGAGAGGAGATCAGGGAAACTCATTCCTCCCCCCTCCAGAAGTCGCACTAGGAGGGCACTGAAATAGTCTGGGCTGGGCCTGCTGGGAAGTTGCCCTCCCCTTTTCATCTTCTATCGCTCTCTCTCTCTGTGTTTCTTCTTCCCTCTGACTGATTTGGTACTCCTCTCTTCTATATTAGAGTCCTATTTGAGCATTGGCCCTCTCCACAGCTGAAGAAAGGAGTAGCATTTGATAAGGATTTAGTCTGTCTGTGTGCTTAACGTGATGGCCCTGCTGCCTCTTCACTTTGCCTCTCCGACGGGGGTCAGCGATCTTGAATTGCTTAAGGTGAAGGTTGGTTTGGTATCAAGAGAAGAGCTTGTATTCTTTCAAGTACATGTTTGTGTGCAGAGGTACAGCTGGCCAAAAGAAATGTTTAGACAACAGAATGCATTATGCAACAAAAAGAGAAAGTACAGCATATAGAAAGCAGATGTGGTAAGAAAATGGGCTGAAATATACAGTTTATGTAAAACTGTCACAAAAGGCCGTACTCACATCATTTCAGCTGTCACATTGTGCTTCAGATGCCGTGTTTAAACGCCTATGGATTTGCAACTTTCAGTAACTAATTACACTGCAAGTGTTAATTTATCATCCTAGCCAAGACTGATGTAATAAAAAAAGAAGGTATATTCAAGTGGATATCAAATTCACTTCCCTTT